CTGCAAAAGTTACTCTTGCTTCAGACCTTCCTTTAAGCCTTCATACCCCTGGAATCTTTTCTTTTTGTCAGGTAAGTCTTGCGGAGTACAATTCAGTACTAAGGGTTTGTTAACCCTTGCTGCAGGTGAACCCCAACAATAGTTAGGCTTTTGCCCCTATTGTATGTCGGTTCTGGAAGATGATAGCTAGCAGTAGATGTGTTGTACTCTCATCCTTGGGTAGGATGATACTTTTATGTAATGAATAAAGTTGTGTTAGTCATGCTACCCTACTTCGTTTGAGAAGGCAAAAACTTATGGTTTGTAAAACTTAAATAAATGGTTTGTAATACTTCCGCTCTTAAACTCTGATGTAATATATTTGTATCAACTGTTGTAATACTACAATGTCTTCTGTAATGATCCTGATTGGATGTGAAAAGTGGATGATTCGGGATCCCCGAGGACATCCGACAGACTACCGAAGTTGTGTGAGTCCCACGCATAATGGTCAGAAGTCTTTAAGACAATGATAAGTGTGTGTGAATTATCATAACTCAGGCGGTTTTGTCATACTTCGGGCCGGCGACGCATAATCATTTAAGATTGCATAATCATTTAAATTTTGATTTTTTAGACTGTCATCTTCATTCACAGCTTGTTTGTTGGGTTGTTCCATAAATTTTGATTTTTTTAGACTATCATCTTCATTCACAGCTTGTTTCCCTTGCAGGTTAAGACGAACGGGCCCATTGACACATGCAGTTCAGTCAATAGCTGTGGTGACACAATGGCATCAACTAATTGGGTAGCTGAAAGGGTGGTAGAATTCTTGATGGAGGACTCAACCTTGGGACCTATGGAGTTAGAACGTAAGCTGAAGAAGAAGTATGCACTAGAAATTCCTTATGACAGGGTATTCAGGGGTAAGGAAAAGGCTCTTGACATGATATTTGATAAGTGGGATGACAGTTACGACTTACTGCCCACATATAGAGCCGAGCTACTCAAATCAGTTCCAGGAAGCATTTTGGAGCTTGATATGAAAAATCATCATGGGGATGTTTGTTTCATGAGATTCTTTGTGGCCCTCAAACCATGCATCAATGGTTTTTTCAAGCATGTAGGCCCTACATTGCTATAGATGCTACTCACCTGATAGGAAGGTTAAGGGGTCAGTTGGCAGGTGTTGTTGCTGTAGATGGGAATAATTGCCTTTTTCGGTTGCATATGGTGTAATTGAAACTATGTCCATAGAAAGCTGGACATGGTTCACCCAGAACTTGAAGGTTGCTATTGGTACACCTATAGGTTTGGCTATCAGCACAGACACATGCAAAGGTCTTGGTAAGGCTGTGCAAGATGTGTATCCAGGTGTGGAACATAGAGAATGTATGAGGCATTTGTGGAAGAATTTCAAGAAGTATGACTCTAGTGATTTGTTCAACTATAACATGAGGCCGGCTGCCAAGGCTTGCACTATTGAGAAGTTCAATTGGCACATGAGGAAAATATAGGAGAAGTGCCCTCGAGCAATTGCTTACTTAGATGAGAATCATCCATACTTGTGGAGTAGAAGCAAATTCTATGATCGATGCAAGGTAGACTACATCAATAATAACCTCTCTGAATCTTTCAACAACTGGGTGAGAAAAACTAAAGACTTGCAGATTTTGGAGATGCGTGATATGATAAGGCAGATGATCATATCCAAATTTGAAGCAAGGAGGAAAATTGCCATGTCAATGGAGGGCAGCATAATCCCTGATATAACGAAGGCTCTTATAGCGCAAAGCAAATCTATCAAGGACCATGAGGTTTTAAGATGTGCCAATAACACAGCTGAAGTTACTGCACCTACATCATCAGGAGCAGCTTTCAGGTATGCAGTTAAGTTGGAGCTCAAGACATGCAGTTGTAGGCTGTGGCAAGTGAGTGCAAAGCCATGTAAACATGCTTTAGCATTCATAGCAAAACTTAGTAGAGATGTGCGAATGGATGACTTTGTCCATGATTATTTCTCTGTTGAAAAGCTGAGAAAGACATATTTAGGCGTGTTCAATCCAATGACATCAAAGCATTTCTGGCAACATGTTGATCTTGATACAAAATAAAAAAGCCTAAGTTGAGAAGAAAGCCTGGCAAGCCAAGGAAAACTAGGATTAAGGCATCAGATGAACCTGGTGCTAGGAAAAGAAAGAGGTGCCCTGAATGCCATGAACTAGGCCATACACAAAGAAGTGCCAAGGGGGACTAACTGCTAGGCAAAAAAGGGGTACAGCCATACAGGTAGACGGTCATCAACTATAGAGTCATCCAAGTATGTCATCCATGTGTACTCTTTTCCAGTTTCTTATACTTTGAACAGGTTTATGCCACATCCCACATTGGATATTTACTGATGCATTTTTACTACTTTGTTTTGAAGGGATGGTGCCACTAATGTTGGAGGAAGACCACCAACTGGGAGGGAGAGGGGTAGAGGCAGAGGAAGAGGTGCTTCAAGGCTTGCTGCTTTGCTCAATGTATAGAAATGACCACTGCTTGGGATATGTAATAACTAGTAGGTGATTTGTTGTGTATGTGCTAGGCCATGTATGACCTGTACATGATCCTGGCATGTGGTGCCTTTATTTTGGTGTGCTTAGTTGTGATTAGGACATGACAAACTTGATGTGGTTCCTGTCAACTCTTGCATTATGATGCAAATATTATGCTTATATATTATCTGGACTCTCTTCATGTCATGCTTGTAAAATATTATACTTTGATATTTATCCAAAATATGTATTATCATTTGTCCAAAATAAATGGACAATAAGTCTGTACATAAAAATCAGATTGATTCTTGTGTCATTCATGTTGAGGGTATTTTTGTCTTTTTAGCCTGTACTTAACACCGTTAACTCTCCTTCACATAACATGGACAAGTGGAAGCTTCAGATTGAAAAAATAGAGGCACATCTGCAAAGTTAAAAAAACAGAGGCAAACGTGCATTTAGAGCTCAAAACAAGGACAGAAATACAATTGGCCCAACAGTGAAGCAACTTTGTAAACTTTATCCTACAAAAATCACAGATTTACCTAAATAAAGATCAATGATTGGGAAACATAAATAACTCTCCTGTTTTCTGTACAACAACACTAACTTAGCTTATTCAGATAGTTGACTGCAGTGATTTTTTTTGCACTTCCTGAAAAAAAAAAGGCTTTATTTTTCCACAGCATCATTCGTGCAATCCTAGTGGTTATCGTAATAAGCTATAATGGGTCAAAGATTTAATAAGGCAATTGCGCCATGGATCGATCCAGAGGGCAAAGACGGGGAACGCACCTGACAGGAGTGGGCTGAGAGAAATCGAGAGTCCGCCGCCGGCAACACAATGGGAGACGACTCCCACTGAAGCACGAAAAGATAGCTGCAAGAATCAACCTATGCGTCCACCAGATTCTCTGCGAACACGAAAGCGTCAGGGTCGCTATGGGGAAGAATGGAAGATGTTTCACGATGGGGGAGCGGGATGTATGCCCACACGACTGTATGCCCGATGGCCGACGCCCCGACGCCTATGGGCGAAGCTGTGTTGTTTCTAGGGGGGCAAATGCACCCCCAAATTGCAAAAACAGTAGATTTGATTAAAATTTCACTGTATATACACCCTCTAATCTGCTCAAACTTTATCATCAGGAACGCCGCGGTATCACAGTGAGGACGGAGGCGCCCGAGCCCCTGCCTCGCAGCAGGGCTGTCGCACGTGCAAGTGCGCTGACGCTCAACCCCTCCAAATATATATAGAGTATATATACGATATAGTATTGTTGCCAAATAAGAACGAAGGCCCCCATTGTCTCCCAATAAACAATGGCCGAGGGCCGCAATGTTGCCCCAATTCCAAAGCATCCAAATCTTAGGTCTCACGGCTACAATGACAAAGGCAAGCAAGTTAAAGCTATTGAAGACTTATTTGCCTATCCTTAATGTTTGGCTATATAGCACTTGAAGGTGAACTGTTGGAGAAGATTGATTATGAGCATATTATTGAAGACTTTATTTCAAAGAACACTAAAAGAATGATGTTATTCAAGTAAAGATTATGTAATATAGGTATCATTCTTGAATCTTGATATATATTTTATTGCAACATACTGCATGCTTTATAATATCGTATATTTAGTTTTTTTTTCTAGGCTAATAGGCCTCATTTCTTAGTATCGTACAGGGCCTCTAATTTTTCCGGGACGGCCCTGCTCGCAGGAGTCGCAGCAGTGCGCTGACGCTCAACCCTAAGCCGTTTCCAGAGTTGTTGCCACGAAGGCCCTTGTCTCATGATCCGAGGGCCGGCCCTTCCAAAGCATCCACACGGCTACAAAGGGCAAGCACATGGAGAATCCGATCCGCGTGTATATCCCATCTAAGACAAAACTCGATTCAGTCCGGCCCTTTCTTTCAAGAGTCCGTACATGATCCATAAAAAGCAACCCACGAGTTGGGGTTCAAGTTCGGCCCTGAATCTTCATGGCCCATTAGCAGGCCCATGCACTTGCTGATATACATATTTGGGCTCTAAGCCCATGGGTTTTGTCACAATATTAGACAGCCTAACATTTATGATGTCGTATGCCATCTCATAAATTTGACTTTAATACTCAGCTTTTGACAGGGGGAAATGAAAATGAAAAATCTCACTAGGCGGTAGATTGGAACAAATAAATAGTTTGATAGAATAAATTGAGTTGAAATTTTGTTGAGACGTTTAATTAAGCAAAGTGATTTTTTCTAAGGTTGTAAAATAGGCTTATATTCTAGAAAACAATGAAAAAGAATGGTATAATATTACTCTCTGTTGTCTGTTGAAGAATCTTTCATTTTTCAGGTGCTTCTTGGCAGTAAATTTTACAAAAGAAATAAAGAAGAAAATCTAAATGTCCCATTTATCATGAGCCATCAACAAATACTGTACTTTGCATTGCTCTAAAGCCAGTAAGCCAACTCCACTGTGCTTCGTTCGTTGATGCTACCCTACCACGGCTTTGCGGCGGCTGATGAACCGAACAGTGTCCGGAGAACGGTGTCCCCGAGGCCGGGGACGGCGGACAGGAAGTGTCCGGTGCCGGGGAGCTCGTGGTAGTTGACCCACGCGAGGCTGCCAGCGACGTGGCGCTGCAGGACGACCGGCACGAGGCCGTCCTCGTCGCCCTGCCACAGGTGCACGGGGCACGGCGGCTCTGGCAGCGCCATGGGGTCGAACTCCCACTTGCCGAACATCACCGTCATGTCCCGGTAGTAGGACTCGTGGATGCCCTGCTGCGTGGCCGCCTCCCGCTTCCTCCGGAGCGTGCCGTCGGCGGCGAGCGCGGCGCGGACCTCGGCGTCGCGCTTGTTGGGGAGGCGCGTGGTGTTGTCGACGACGGTGGAGGTGGGCAGCCACCCCTGCTGCGCCATCCACCAGTGGAGCAGCCCCGGCGCGTGGTGCGACACGCGCAGCGCCCACTGGTCGCCCCTCGCCTGCCGCGCGTACGCCGCCGCCGCGGCCTCCGCGGGGAGCCCCGGCCACCAGTAGTTGACCACGGGCGCCAGCATGGCGGCGCCCGCGAGCCGGTGCGGGATGTGCCGCAGCGCGCCCCACACGGCGTGGCAGCCCAGGGAGACACCCACGGCGTAGAACCTGTCGCCCAGGCCTAGCGCGTCGGCTAGCTCCTCCATGTCCAGCGCCGCGCTCCGCACGGAGCGGTGAGGGTTCGGGTCGCTCTCGCCGTACCCCGCGCGGTCGAAGGCCACCATGTACACGCCCAGCTCCTCCGCCACTTCCTGCATTTTTTTTTTTGGTTTGTTACAAGAAAGCGTTTGTTCAGCACGGTGTGCACGGTAAAATCAATCATCAAACGGTAGATGTGAATATGAATTGTTGGCAGTTCTGAGTTGTTGTTCTTGTTTTCGTGACGTTATGATATGATACCACAAGTGTGGTGACATAGTGCAATGGATCAACGGAAGATTAGATCAGCGTGTGCTGTAATAATCGAAGTGAAATTCATTCATGGACGTTGACGAAATAAACGATCTTCTTTTCCTAAATCTCGGCCGTTGATGTCTAATCGATCAAATCGACAACTCACAGAATACTGGCAGGTGGCAGCTAGGACAGCTGTTTACTTAATTTTTGCGCGTTCGGATGACAGCTAGTAGGAACTCCATTTCGTCGTACTGTGCCGTGCGACGTGGTCTCCAACTCCATACAGCACTACAGCTTTAGGAAAGAGACACATTCTACATTTTTTTTTGTAAAAAAAGAAACAAAAAAGGACACATTCTACATTCTTTGAAACGTTCAAGGTGATGGAGTTGCGTAGTTTCCCTGGAACTAATGACGTTGTAATGCAGAGACGAACGGCTGCTAACCTGTGAGGCGCGGAGGCTGTCGAGGCGCGACCCGGAGAAGCCGTGCGAGAAGACGATCCTGTAGCGCGCGGCCTCCCTGGGCACGCCGGACTCCTCGTAGGCCAGGTGGCGGCCGTCGCGCAGGCGCACCCGGCGCGCCGTCACGGGCGGGCCCCCGGGCGCCCCGCACACCCGCGGCGCCGGCGGCGGCTGCAGCGCGGCCCGGCAGAGCCACTCGCCCAGCTGCCCCACCGTGCCCATGGGGTCCACCAGCAGCCCGGCGGCGGCGACATCGTCGCCCTTCCCACGCTTGCCGCCGCAGCCGAGCGCTTGCGTCGACGCCCACAGCAGCCGCTCCATTGGTCCGATGGATCGGGCGGCCGGGATGCGCAGCTGCTGCTTGCTGCGCCGCTGGTCCTCGGAACACCGGCTGTTGCGTAGGCAGCTTGGCACTGCAGCTGCGGACAGCTGGCCGGATGTACCACCAGAGGGAGGGAGGACTGGGGAGCGGTAGGTGGGCAGCGAGCGTCCCGCGCGCCGGTGTTATTTATCGGGGCGCTCGCCTCGCACTCGTGTAGGGTGGCATGTGGACCGTGGACGTGGTCGCGCTGCGTGCTCGTTCGCCTGGATGATGGCTTCCGGACGACTCGGCTTTGGCTTTGTTTATTCGCCTGGGACAACGCGGTTTTATGGGGTACGGTGGCGCGCCGGCGAACGCGCGTCGTCGGTGCCCGTCCTGGGACAACGCGGTTTTATTTTTAACCTTTTTCAAAAAATAAATTCTAAATCTATCACCTTTGTTTTATTATTTTCAAAACTAACACTTTTGACCGCGCTAAAGTGGCATGGCCAAAACACGCTGTCGCGCCACATGCATCGGCGCGGCACGAGCTGCCACGTCGTACAGCGATTTTCACGTGGAAATCATTGCCGCGCCACTGCCGTTAGCGCCCCAGCACGGTAGCGCCACGGCATCCAGACGGGTGCGACAAGGCGTAACCTTAAAAAATTTGTATCTTTTTAATACGATCTCGGATGAAGATGATCTTTATATGACAATTATAGCTCTCGGTGAGATCTACAATTTTCTAGTTTTGAATTTTTTTCATTTGAGGTCGTTAAAATGCTCAAAAAAAATAAACAATGTTTCAGCAGTATATTAATCACGTACAAGCGTTTATCGTCTTGGAAAAATCATATCGTTCTTACATAGTGTCAAATGGAAATACTTTCTCTATGAAAGTTGTAGCCTTAGATGGGATCTACAAATTTATAGTTTTGAGTTTTTGTATTTGAGATCATTAAGATGCTCAAAAAAATAATATAAAGTTTCAACATCGTATTAATCGCATTCCAGCACTTGTCGTCTTGGAAAAATCATATATTTCTTATATGGTGTCAAATGGAGATATTTTCTTTATGAAAGTTATAGCTCTCGGTAGGATCTATAAATTTATAGTTTTGGGTTTTTGCTTTTGAGATCATTAAGATGCTTAAAAAATAATAATATAGAGTTTCAGCATCGTATTAATCGCGTACAAGCGCTTATCGTTTTGGAAAAATCATATCTTTCTTATATCGCGTCAAATTGAGATACTTTTTATGTGAAAGTTATAGCCCTCGATGAGGTCTACAAATTTATAGTTTTGAATTTTGTATTTGAGATCGCTATCTTCGGCGCGTGATGTGACTGATTACTAATCGAAAGTCGACTTAGAAATTCAAGTACTACCAAAAAAAACGGATGAAGATGATTGATCTGTTAGGCAGATGGTAGATAGTTGAGTCACACACTATTACTATCTCACTACATTTTCGTCATCGCTTCTCATAAAGTTTTTATGCAAAGATGGTGGAAAAAAGTTACACAACAATAGACATCGTTAATTGTAAAATTGGCGAGATCTAATAAACTTAGAAATTAAACTATGACCTTAGCATATTTCCTTTAACATATTCTCTCGTCATATTTTCTTGTACCTAAAAAAGATATTTTTCTCTTTAACTAATGGTCAAGCATGTGTGGCACGCTGCAGAAAAGATTTTTATGAGACGTTAAGCTCAAGTACATAATTAATATACTGCTAAAACTTTATACTATTGTTTAGCATCTTAATGACCTCAAATGAAAAAAAAAATCAAACTATAAAGTTGTAGATCTTATTGAACTTTCAGGTGGTGAACTAGACTCAACTCTGTCCTAGGAAGCTCAATAATTTATTTGATCTAAATTTTTTTAGGTAGAATTTGAATTGTGAACTCGAACTTGTCATGTACCGCGGCACTGCCACGTGGGAATTTAACACTTGTTTAAATTTGTTTTAAACATGTCTAGTCACGTCGCGTGCCCAAGATAACGATCTCAAATGAGAATACTTAAAACTATATATAAAGTTATAGATCTCATCAAGGGCTATAACTTTTATGTAGAAAGTATCTTCATTTGACACCATATAAGAAAGATATGATTTTTCTAAGACGATAAGTGCTTGTACGCGATTAATACGATGCTGAAACTTTATATTATTTTTTAAGCATCTTAATGATCTCAAATGTAAAAATCCAAAACTATAAATTTGTTGATCCCACCGAGAGCTATAACTTTCATATAGAAAGTATCTTCATTTGATACTATATAAGAAATATATGATTTTTTCAAGACGACAAGTGCTTGTATGCGATTAATACGATGCTGAAACTTTATATTATTTTTTTGAGCATCTTAATGATCTCAAATGAAAAAAAATCCAAAACTATAAATTTGTAGATCTCACCGAGAGCTATAACTTTTATCGAGAAAGTATCTCCATTTGATACCATATAAGAAATATATAATTTTTTTCAAGACGACAAGTGCTTGTACGCGATTAAACGATGCTGAAACTTTATATTATTTTTCTTGAGCATCTTAATGATCTCAAATGCAAAAATTTAATACTACAAATTTGTAGATCCCATTGAGGGCTACAACTTTCATATAGAAAGTATCTCCATTTAACACTATATAAGAGCGATATGATTTTTCTAAGACGACAGCGCTCGTACGCGATTAATATACTGCTAAAACTTTGTTTAATTTTTTTTTACCATCTGAACAACCTCAAATAAAAAACATCAAAACTAGAAAGTTGTAGATCTCGTTGAGAGCTATAATTTTCATATAAAGATTATCTTCATCCGAGATCGTATGAAAAAAGATATAATTTTTCTAAGGTAGCAGAAAGTCTAGATGGCGCGGTGCTACAGTGCCGTTGTGCCAACGACAGTGGCGCGGCAAGGATTTTCACGTGGAAATCGTTGTCTGATATGGCAGATGCACGTGACGTGGCAGCGTGTTTTGGCCATGCCACGGACTTTGGCGTGGCAAAAAGTGTTATATTTGAAAGAAAAAAAAATTATTAGATTTGACATTTGTTTAAAAAAAAGGTTAAAAATAAAAAAAAAATCCCTGCTGGCTGCTGCACTGCATCGTGTGATCTGATGTACTCCGAGTCGCGTGTGCCGTGTGTGTGTCGCAGCTGGCCAGCTGCTGCACGAGCACGGATGCACCTGCACACCGGACGTTTTTAATGATTTCAGAGCCCAAGTGCAAGCTGAGGGAATTAAAGTGTGACTAAGTGCAATGCTGGCCCATGACTGCTGATTTGGATGTATGTAATGATGTACGGCTCCCTTTCGCTTCCAATATTAATATTAGTCTACTGCGCTTTCTTGAACGAGTGGGCCCTTCGGGGGCCAACTCCATCATGTACGTGTCCTTCCCTGATCACGTATGCATGCACGTCTCTCTTTCTCAATCCAAAAATTCTGACCCACGCATAGGTGATAGGTCTCTTCCTATGTGGATTAGGCTATCCAAAGGAGCCCTTAATCTTTCATTTCTACCGCTGAGCTCATCTAGCATTTGTCCCACAGGTGCTATACGAAAAGTTGGGCTAGGCCTTTCTATGCCGCTGCAGAGTACTCGTAGTGAACGCAAAAAAAAAAAAAACGTTTGTCTATATAAATTTAACGAGCAAAGTAATAATTTTGAAAAACAAGAAAATGCTAAATCAACAATTTTGCAATGCATTTAGATTCCTGGAGCTCAAATTCCCCATGAATCCTGATTTCGCCTTCAATCGCATCAAAGCTCCAAATCACAAACGAACGAACGGTGATGGCTCGCTCGCTCTGATCCTCCTGAATCCTGATCGCATCCTGTTCCAGCCCCTAGAGTCCCCGATGAGTCTAATGGTGACGCACTCCATGAACTCAGACGGGGACTCTTCTGTCTTCTCGATCACCACTCACCTGCTCAGCAGAGGCTTTGCGGGCACCGTTGCTGCATGGCCGCTGCCCAGTGTTTAGCACCGCTAGCTGTACGGGCTTACGGGGACTCTTCTGTCTTCTCGATCACCACTCACCACTTATCAGCCGGCTTATAGAATCTACATTTAATACCAGCCGCGCCGTTTGGTGCAGCTCCTCCGGCTCGACTGCTGAAGCTGCCAACGGAGCCGGACTGCCGGAGTGCCACCAAACAGGCCGGCAAAACTTGCGACAGTCCATGCTTTAGCTGCTTCACGAAATAATGCAGAGTAGGTGGAACCAACGTATTTTAACACACTAGTTTATTATACACATCGCAGCCATCGCTCAAGTCATTGATTCAGGTAAATGGTATTTTAAGATAGTTTAGTACATACAAACTCAATATTTATTCAGGCCACAAATTCTGCACAGCTCACTTCTACAACTTGACTCGGCCATTATATGCAGAATCGTGTGCGCACAAACAAGCACAAGGTGCAGGTACTCTAATGGTCAAAGCATCTAGAACCATACTATATTTTGCATCTGCTGCTGGAAGCATGTGAATACACTGAAATATCATCCTAACCTAATGGCCAATTGCTACCGAATGTCAAATGGCGCCTCAAAAGTTGACTGACTGTCCCTGAACTTCAACATATCTTTTATACCAATCCTTGGGAGATAAACCCCAATGTTTTAACTATCATAAGTTACTGGAATACATTTGTGTATAATCAACTCTAATACTAAGTCAAAATTTATGTGTGGCTTATTTCACCCCCAAAAATGAAAACAACAACAGCCAAAAACGATGAAGATAGCTTCCTAATGCAAAATCTGACTTTTGGGACCATATCAGGACAAATCAAATATCCATCATTCCAATGGTCAAAGTACAGCTTGCTCATCTGGGGCATAGATGCCCAAATTTACCTGTGTTTCCGAGATTTACCCCTGGATTTCACTTTCTTTTCAAGATTTTTGACCTTATAGCCAAGAACAGCAGCATCAGGTTGGCCCAGACCAGATCGCTGGGCTCCTGCGATTGCTACTGGTGACTCTGC